ACTTATCAGCTCGTAACCCTTCTCTTTCAATTTTTATTTTTCTCCCTATAGGTGTTATTATCACCCAACGCTATCTTTTTCTGTTTGAATATTTGCACCGAGTATACACAAACTCTCAGTCTAAACCTTTGCATGAACTGGTTTTTTTCTTTGTTTTGTAACCACACACTAAAATCCGCTTGATTAAATACATTTAGTTCGATTTTCGCCTACCAACTTTAATACCTTTTTGGGTTTGAAACTTATGTAAACAAACAAACTTGATTTAAGAAAATAAAAGAAGATAATAAACATCTATGAAAATATCGTAATTTAATCCATCAACCGCCAATATACCGAAAATCAAAATCGTAGTAATTTAAGTCAAACGAACGGATGCGAACGATTAAAAGAATAAAAAGTGTTTCGAATGCCGACGCGAGACCAGTTGGACACTTGGAGTCGAAGGAGGAGTATGCTGGTGGCCTTTGCCTGATAAGCCGGGCCACCGAACACTACTCGAGACGGAGGAGGTGGAGAGAAGAGAAGGAGAAAGGGGAAGAGGAATAAGAGAAAGAAAAGAGACGGAGGAGGTGGTGAGGAGGGAAGGATGTGCAGGGGGAGGGGAAGAGAAAAAGGAAAAAGAAAAGGAGGAGGAGAAAAAAAGGGGAAGAGAAAGAGAAACGGAAAAGGAATAAGAGAAAGGAAAGAAGAGAAGAAGGGAGGGATGGGTTGGGGGAGGGGGAGGCGGTAGAGGAAGAAAAAGGAGGAGGAGGAAGAGGAGAAAGGCGAAGAAAAAACGAGAAAGAGAAGGAGGAGGAGGAGAGAAAAAGGAACAGACGAAGGAGAAGAATTAGAGAACGGAGAAGAGGGGGGGTAGGGAGGGAGGTCAAGAATGACCATCCTGTGCCCAAAGTGCTTGCTTGGAGATAAGCAAATTTGCACGCTTAAGGAGTCTTGCGTGCTTGCATCTGCCCCGACGTCACGCAAAGCAAGGAGTTCATCATAAGTTGACATTGCTTGCAGAAGTTGACAAATCATGTGACTTTCAATTTTCAATTTTCCTTCGTTTTTTATTCCTCTAGCTGTTGCGGGGGGGCGGGGAGGGGGAGGTTCGAAGAATTTAGAAAATTCTCTTTACTTCCTCGACCACAACCTGCCTTTCTAGAAACTAGAAATTTCCCTTCCGTAAAAGGAGAGACTGAGAGAGAGGGGGAAGGGAGGAAGAGAGAAAGAGAGAGAGGGAAGGAGGGAGAGAGAAAAAAAGAGACTGAGACAAGAAAGATTTGATTTTTAAAATATATAATATTTACTAAACAATTTACATGACCTGCAAAAAAGCCACCGAGAGGGAGAGAGATAAAAAAAACGGAAAAAAAAACACATAAAAAGGAAATTTATCTCTTTATCCCCCTCCTCCTCCTCCTTCACAGAAATCCCCGGTGCAATTAAACAATACGATAATTAGCAATTAACGAAGAAGACAAGTCGTTGAGAGGAGACAGCTGTGAGTGTATACGAGTAGCTGTCTCCCGGAGATGCAGAGATCAGACGTGTGTTTTTGTTTTGTTTTTCCTTATTTTTTTTCCAATTATCTATCATATATTTAATCTATTTATTTGTTTATTCATTGTATTACTATTTTTTGTTTTTATTTATCTTTTAGTTTTATATTAATTTTCTTAATTTTCTTGATTTTTCTTTCTTTTTTCTTTTTTTTTCGAGGGAGAGTGTTCGAGATAGAAGGGAAGATTGTAGAATTTATTATAAGCCGAGTGAGAATACGATAGGCATCAGTACAAAAAAGAAAAAAAATGTGCTTGGAGGAATAGGAAAAAAAACAGAGGTGGGATGGGGGGATGGAGGAAATTTGAGAAGGGGATAGGGGAATAAAGGAGGAGGAGGAAGAGAAGAAAAGTAGAGAATAAGAGGAAGAGATGAAATGGAGAATTAAAAGAATAGGAGGGAGCGATGGAGGGAGATGAGAGAGAGGAGAAAAGAAGGAAGGGAAAGGGGGAGGGAAAATAAGGAGGAAGGGAGAAAGGGAAAAGAAAAGGAGATGAGAGGAATGGAAGGAAAAGACGAGGATAAGAGGAGGAAAAATTAGGAGAAAGAGATGGAAAGAAGGAATAGGAGAGGGTGGGGAGGATGGGGGGAGATAAATATAGAGGGAAAGGGACTAGGGGAGAGAGGAGGGAGAGGAATGGAGGAAAAGAGAAAGAATGAAGGAATGGAAAGGAGGAAGGGAGGGGGGGGGGAGGAGGAGGATGGAAGTGGGGGTGGAGAGAGGGAGGCAGAGGAAAGAGAGAGAGACGGGGAGGAGGAATAAAAAGAGAGACAGAAGAGAAAATATACTGTCAGCTGGAGGAGAGACGGACATATCATCTCATTATCTTGCTGAATGTTGCAAGCACAATCATCCCCATCTTAGCAACAACCCCAGCTGTCGTAACTATTACCCACAACAACAATCACGAACCATAATAATAAAAAAAGAAAAACAAAAAACTCCTTTCCATTA